GGGGGTTCTATCAGCAATCAATCACAATTATTTCCTTATTTTTATTGACAGGAAGGTTGATCATTGATGTTGTTTAATTGACCACAGGAAAGGGAATAAAATATTGGAAATGAAAATTATAAGATTTAGTACTTCAACCAAGCCAACCAACATGTAGACGTAGCGTAGGCCCCAGAATTTTGTCACAATGATTATGCATAATTTTAAATTAATATTTCTCCCTCATTAATAGTAGACATTTGTTCCCTATCTTCGTCGTAGCAGGACCCATCATTATCAATAGACACACATTCAGATGAGGGGTGCTTGCCATGTAGCTGCTGACATTCTATCCACCACGGACAAACTCCTTGCATCCTCATCGCACGCATTTGTGTGTGCATAGGAACAAATAATGATGATAATAATAATATAACAAGGAAGTAGGGGTTTTTTCTTTCTTTTTTTTTTTTTTTGAAAAACCACACGTACAGCACCAAAAGTTAATTTCTCCTTGTTGAGAGATTGTTCCTTCCGACTCCTTAGCATTGCACCGACACAAGATTTTCAATAAATGGGACACCTTAATCTTGTGTGGAAAATTAATTTGTGGTAGATAATGAGGAGGAAGTTAAGATATATATAACTAAGAAGAAGGGAACTAGAAAAGAAGAAGAGGGGAAAAAAAAAGAATAGTACACAAACACAATTTTACCTGCGTACCAAGGTGAGATCCAAATGGGTGGAATATTATCTATCTAAAATTTACATACGTTTCATTATCTTCTCTTCGTCTTATTGAACTTTTCAAACATAATGGAATAAGTTCCCCTGTGTGTTACCTTAGGGCTTGTTTGGATTGAGGGGAATGGGGGTGAAGGGAAGTTAGGGGAACCATTCACCTCCATTCACCTTGTTTGGGAACACTTCGGAGGTGAAGTTAATTCACCTCCATTCACCTTGGTTCACCCCCTAATAGTATAAAAATTGTTACCCCCAAATTGGGGTGTAACCAAGGGGAAGGGAATTCCCTTCCCTTCCCTTCCCTCAGTTTCCCTTAACTTCCCTTCACCCTCTACGAATCCAAACAGACCCTTAGTTTTCTTTATATCCTATGATCACCTAACTTCTCTCCCCAGGGGCAAATCCAAACATGCCCTCAATGTAAGGCTCAATTGATTTTGCAGCGCGCTATAAATATCTAGAATCCTCTCTCTTTGTTTTTTCTTCCCCCATCTGCGGGTCAATATTGTTTGTAGTCCGACATAATATAGCCCCAATAAGCCTTGTCTGGCAGACTTTCAACAGAAAACATCCGACGAAGACGTGGGAAAGCTCCGTATGAATGGCCCATGGGCCATCTTCATGTAGCCTATGAGTGTCAAATTGGCCCAACACGGGAAGAGAACGGGGCCTCTTAAGAATAGAGGCCGACGGTGTGGGGTATTACTATTAACTCGTGAACACCGTCATCTCTGGGAAGGAAGAAGACTGCGAAGCCCTAATTTTCTTTTCCTCCGTACTTGTAGATGGAGACGGAGACGGAGGCGGAGGCGACGAAGGAGACGATTGTTATGATGAAGGAAGACATCGACAGACCCTCGATAATTCCTCAATCACCGGAGGAGAAAGAGCAAGGGACGGCGGCGGCGGCGGCGGAGAATCGTACTTCAGGAGTAAGCAGGGGTGCAGCCACGTGAAGTCGTGCCGCTACGCCCACGGGGAGGAGGAGCTCCGACCCAGACCCGATAAGACGTGGGACCCCACATCCGAGAGGGCGAAGAAGCTGCAGAAGGAGGAGGCCAACGGATGGGAGGCGGAGGAGGAGGAGGAGGAGGGATCGGACGAGGCTAACCTCGACAAGTGTCTGATCGGGCTCCCCAGGAACTGGGGCTCGGATAGCCTGAACAAGTTTCTCGATGGACAGGCAACTCCTTTTTTGACATCCCTACGTACTGTTTCCATTACGGCACGGTTGCTTTGTTTGCTTGTTTGTTTGCCTGCCTACCTAGTAGTAGTACGCTTTAATTAACTAATTTTTGTGGAGGATGGACTGCAAACTAACTAACTACATCACTAAATTTTATAACCCAAGCATAGAGTGGTGTGTCGTCCCCGTTTGCCCTCTCCTGCTTCCCCCCATTCACGGTCCGGTAGCCAAAATCAAGCGATTTTGGAGCCAAATGTAGCTTCTTCTACCGAATAATATTAGGATTCGATTTCGCTATGTTGCGTCCCGCATTGCTAGCGTACCTGAAGGCCTCCTTTCGCAGGAGCCCAAACCCTCTTGACTTTCACCCTCTGCTCTGCTGTCACTGCTTTGTTGACCTGATTAGCTTGTTCGTTGCGGTTGCTAACTCTTAACTCTCGTCTTCTTCACGACAACAGCTGTTGGGGGGCGCCTACTCATATGCTTATCAAAATTATTTTCCTTTTCCACAGGGAATTCACTACAAATCTGCTAAAAAGAAGAAGAGGATGGCTGTAGCCTTTGTGGTATTTGAGAATGTTGAACAGGTCAAAGATGCCATCAAGGTACCTTTTCTAGTGGGATTCTGACCCTTGAGCACCTGACATTGTTCATTTCAGATTTTATATATAAACTTCTCTTGATAGATTTTAAATGAGAAGTCTGATGGTGGAAAGCAAATAAAGATTGCAAACGCCACTCGTCGATCTAATGAGAAGAGGCGTGCATCTGGAACGACTCAAGGCCTCCCGGTCAATGAGGGTCATGATGAGGATAACGATGCCGCTGATAATGACACCTCGGTAACTGAAGGGCTGGTGCCGAAGACAAGAAGTGCTCGTGACGTAGTCACTCCCCTGGCTCATATGCCCTACCCTGACCAATTGGAACACAAGAAAAATTCATTATTGCAGACACTTAAGCGGCTAGTAAGAAAAATACGCTTGTACTAACCGTTTGGGTTTTGATAATTGGTGTCTATATCCCAATCTCATTGAAAAAGCTTCCCAATTTAATTCGTCCATATTTGGATTTAGTTTATTTAAGCTTTGATGATAGAAAATGCTATTTTATTTATTAAACATGATTCCTTCCTCTGCAGACTAGGAACGCGCGCAAGGCTTGTCCAGATGCTATTCCACTTCCAGAGTGGATTTTAAAATCTCGAGAGATAGGTAAAGTCTCTGAATAAATTAGGTAGCATACTTTCATGACCTATGCTTGACAACAAATTCCAATTATAGCGATGATAGGATATTTTTCTGAAGTTTTTAGTTGCTTTTCTTCTTTCTTTGCTACAGTTCTTGTTCTCTTTCTTTGTTCTTGTTATTACTACCTGCTTGACCTCTAGATCTAGTGGCGGCTTCCTATTTATCTGCATCCAACTTCCTTAGTGTGCTCTTTTTGACCAGTTGTTTTATGGATCATAGATTATATAAATTTGTTGAGCAGTCGAGCCTAGAGTTACTGGCCCTTCAGTTGTATCTGGAAATGTCAGAAAATCAAACTTCAAGCCTTCTTCTAGACTTGTAAATTACAGTGTAGTTTCGACCAATCGTAGCTAGTCAGCTGCTCCAAAATTTTGATAAGGAGTATGTGCATGTCTTTGATGGAAACAGTAATCATGTGACATGTACAATACCATGCATGTGCAGAGGACAAGCTACTCACAAAAGATTGGGTAGCTCTGTGGCCGTGTTATGGCTATCGCAATTAACCTCTGATATCTGTTTCCGACCACACAGAATATTGTTGTGGAGTGTAGACTGTACTTGTTCCTACTTCCTACTAGCTCTCCTGCAGTAGGAGATACTTCAACTGTCAGAAAATGAACATAACTGTG